TGTTTTTTTGAAAAAGTGTTTTTTTCAGTGCAATAAAATAAACAATATATTTTTAAAAAAAATTTAATTAAAATAAACTCTTATTTGCATATACATCTATATTGCGCAATATTGATGTATATATAAAAGTGTAAAAAATTGTATTTTAATTACATTTTTTTTGTTTTTAGAATTTTAAAAAAGCTACTTTCACAAAAAAAACAACAACAACAATAACCAAAATGTCTAATGGAGAAGAGCACGATTTCTTTGATAATGCGGAGTAAGTTTTTTCTATAATAATATTATTATTTTTTATTTTTCACAAATTATGTAAGTTTCTTCCTTTACAAAGTAATTTTTGTGGGTTTATTTTTTTTTTAGTTATTTTAAATTCCCAGGATTAATTTTATGCAACAGAAAAAGAAAATTAGATAAGCTTTAAAAACGCATGAAACTGACTGTCCCCATTTACCCCAAAATTTAGAAAAAAAAAATTTCATAAAATTTGGAGTAAATGGGGACAGCATAGTTTCTAAGAAAGTTTTAAGAAAAAAGTTTTCCTTAAGTATATTACTGTAGTAAGGGATGAAAAATTTTTTAGTAGATATATAATAGTTGAACCAATAGAAATTTTTTTATTTTAGTATTTTGTCTCACATTTGAAAAAAACAGACTTAAAAATCATACCTATTTTTTTCTTATTCCTTATGACTTGAATTTTTAATTTTTTTTTTTGTTAATTTGGTTAATAATAACAAGCTGTCCCCATTTACCCCCAAAAATTTTAAAAACTCAGGGTAAATGGGGACAGCTTGTCATTATTAACCAAATTGATAAAAAATCGAAAATTCAAGTTAATTTCTGTTATAGGAGTCATAAGGAATAAAAAAAATTTGGTATGATTTTTAAGTCTGTTTTCTTTAAAATTCGAGACAAAATACTGAAACAGTTTGACTTTAATTTTATTCTTTAAAAAAAAAAAAAAAAAAAAAAAAAAAATTTTGATGATTTAGTTTTAAAAGTTTTTTTTATTAATAATAATAAAAAAAACTCTTAGTGTTGAAATAAAAAAGAAATTTATTCATTTTAAATTTTGATATCAACACTGCAAGATTTTTTTTTATTATTATTTAATGAAAATTTTTTAGTTTTTAAATCATCAAATTTTTTAATATATATATATATATATATATAATTTTTTTTCTAGCATAAATTACGTTCTCCTTACTCCTAACATCTCAATACCGGTGGAGTGGATGCTCAACACACCATACTCCACATTGATGGAGGTATGTCATAATGCTGTCGCTACACTTGACATCATTGGAGGGGAAAATGAAACTTTTTCCGTCCAAATAATAACAGTGGTTGCAGGTATTCCAGCGAAGCTGGAATATCAAAACAACCACTATCACTTTGTGAAAGTGTAAAATAAAACAAAAAAAATGTACCACTTCTATATATATATATATATATATATAAATAATTTTTCTTTAATATATATATATGTGACGCTCCACGAGAAAAGGGACCTAAAGTACTTTTGACTTAAGGTTCATTCACTGTGTCATTGCACGGTAAAAGCGAACCTTAAGTCAAAAAGCACGTTAGGTCCCTTTTCTCGTGGAGCGTCACATATATATATAAATATATATAATATGTATCAAAAAAAAAATTAAAGTTTTGAAAAAAAACATTAAATATATAAAAAAATATATATATAAATAATTTTTTTTCATTTAATCCTTTTTATACAAAAAATAATTAAAAATTTAAAAAAGTAGGGGAATAGTGTCAGGGTTGGACACTTGTCAGGGTTGGACACTTGGCTTTTTTTAAATAAGAACACTAGCGCCACCTGTGTGCGTACGTGACGAATCTTCTAGTAGTATAACCTAACTTTTTGTGGCATTACATTTTTGGAGAATCAAAAGTAGCGTCTCTTGTGACTTCGGTGCAATCGAAGAGACAAAAAAAGTTTTGTTTGACTTGTGAATAAACCTAAAAAATGTGTAAAAAAAGCAAGAATTCGGCAAGATAAGCTTATTGAATGTATTGTGGGGTACATAATTTAAGAAGAAAAAAAGTGAAAAATCGAATCGCGACACATGTCTAGTTATGGTTAGCACAATTCGAAAATGATGCTTCTAGTTAGGGTTGGACACTTTATACAGTTAGGGTTGGACACCCATATTAATTATGAATTTGACACAATTTATAAATAAATTTTATTTTATTGATATTTCAGTGCAAAATTGTGCCAAAGATATTAGAAAAATAATACTTAAATTGTATAAATTTTGTTCATCATTTCATTGAGTTATTTGGAACAATAAAGCGTTATTTTTTATAATTTGAGTTCATTCCTTTTTTAAACCCATGAAGCTTTACAATTTGTAAACAATAAGTAAAGATAAACATGAAAAAATAAGAATAAAAAACATTACAAATGTTATTTTACGTTTTTACCAATAATGCGTTTCGATTTTCAAAAAGTGTCCAACCCTGACTGAAAAGTCCAACCCTGACTAGATTTTTTTTTTTTAAATGTTTATAACTTTTTTAATTTTGGACCAATCAATTTACGGTCCACAGCAAAAGTGTTCCTCTTTTGTAGATCTTTCCACCCATATACCACAATTGACTGAATTTATCTAAACAAAATATTTATAAACAAAAAACCAAAACTGTGTCCAACCCTGACACTATTCCCCTATAAAATTTTTTAATAAATTAATTAATTAAATTTAAAAAAAAAATTTTGATTTATTTTTTTATAAAAAAAGAATTTTATTAATTATAAAATTAAAATAATAGATTTTTTAATTTATTATTAAAAGAAAGAAAATAAATTAAATTGTTTGTTAGTTATAATTTTATTAAAAAAAATATTTTTCTAAATTTAAAAAGAAATAGCGATATCATAATAAGACATATGGGGACAATAAACCAACACACATCTATCTCGGCACGCATTACTGCTATAGCACTCGCACACATAGAAAGGTGTGTGTAGTCGCAAGGCATCGCTTGGACTTCTTCGTCTGTCCTCCACTTCCTCAGCTTCGTTGGTCTCCCCGTTCGCTCCGCTGTCCTCTCAAGGCAATGCTTCGCTCTATGCGTCCGTCCCCCGCTTCATGATCCCCTTTAGTCACGCCGTCCGCCATGCACAACTTGAGATACCTACAAACTCTATTGAGATTTCAAAATAACGTAAAAATTTCGCATTTCTTTTTACATTTTAAAATTTTTTCTTTTTGATTATTATAGTAGAAATACTAATACATATTAATTGATAAATTATTATTAAAGTTTATCTTTAAAAATAGTAAATTTTTCACATTTTACTTTAGCGACGGTCAACTATAAATTCATTGAATATTCTTCTTCATTTTTTACACTAAATAAATACATTTTTTAAAGAAAAAATCTTACTTCTATTTATGTTTTTTCATTTATTCAGCGATAGAGTGATAAATTTGTATTAGTTTACTATTAAACCTATACTAAAAGAAAATTAAATCTGATGTTGTGAAGCGACGGAAACATTATCTTCTAAATATATATAATCGATATAACTTTTTTATTTTTACTCTCTTAATTTTCTAGAATATTTTGTAGAAATTTTTTATAGAAAAAAATTGTATTATATTCTAGTTATTTAACATTTTTTTTTCTCTACAGCAATACAAAAAGGTGGTGTTATATTACAATAAAAAAAACAGTAATAATATATAAAAGTGTTAATTTTTTTTACAACGGTCAACTATAAAAATTAATTAAATTATTCTTTTCACTTTTTTTACACTAAATATATATTTTTTGAAAATTTTTTTTTTCATCCATGAAGTAGAAGTATAATAAAATTGGTATTGGTAAAATTACCAATATACGTATACTAAAATAAATGCAACAGATAAGAAAAAAATTATTTTTATTCCCTGAAGCGACGGAAACATTTTTTTTCTTTTTAATTTTCTAAATTGACATAACTTACTATTTTGCTATCTTTAATTTTTTTTATAAAAAAATATTTGAAAACCAATTTACATAGAAAAAATTGTATTCTACATTTTTTGAAACCTTTTTTTATAATAAGAATATATATAAAGGTGGTGTTATATTACAACACATATAAAGGCGATATGATTATTTTTTTTGCTTTTTAGATAAATTAATTTACTTTCTTAAAATTTTAAAATTAATATTTATAAATATATAGACATAAGAAAAATTTCTTAAAAATAATAATAGAAAATATAGATTTTTTGTAGTAAAAAAACAACTACATCATAAAGTTAATGTTATATAATATGTACTTTAATGAAGGTTTTCAGGTTATATACGCAAATAATAGAATTCATTTTTTAAAATATTTAATTAGAAAGAAGCTTCTTATATATAATTTTTTTTTAATTTTACAAAAATATTAAATTATTGATATTTAATAATATATTCAGTTAATAGCCATTTTTTTAACACATGTACATTTCGCAAAGCGCACTTTACAAATTCTAATTTTATTGCTGTTTCTTGATGTTGATGATTGTGACACGGTTTCTTATTACAAGAATAATTATACAGTAGTTCTTGTATTGATGAACACTTTAAATCGAACATGTCAACCACAGTAATTGATGATTTAATAAAATTCTTAAGCCAATTTTTCTTTTCCAAGCCTTTCACATAGATTTTCGTCGCTTTTTTAAATATGTTTTCTAATATAACGACTAATAATGTATATGAAATGTCACCAGATGATCATCTTAAACAATGTAAATTGTCCTCTAACCAAGAATTTAATTTTTTATATTGTGAATTAATTTCTATCCATTCACATGGTGGTTGAAATAAAAAATTATACGGTCGTTGTACTTTTTTTCTTTTTTTTCCATTTAACGGTAAAATAGCGAGTTCTTTTACAATAAATTTATTTTCAGGCATTTTAAAGCCCTGAACATCTACAACGTACTCCATTCTGTTGACAAATGACTAATAAAACAAAAAATTTTGTCAATTTATATAATTTTTTTTACTCCCCCACTTATAGGTTTATATTCCACTACTCTGTCGTGTAAAATGAGACAATAGGCTGCAGTTTGAGCGGGAAAATTTTCTTTAGCTTCAAATTCAAGTCGAATGTCAACAGGACCATATTTTAAAGATTCATTTTGCTTTGAGCAATTAATTACTATTAGTGGAGCATAATTTAAAAATTCTGCTTTTGTCAAATATGGTTGTGATTCTCTATCATAATAGTAACTAGCTTGAAAATTGATATACATTTCATAGAGTACAGCATAGTGTTTCTTATCCATGTCAACATTAAGATTACCATATGGATAGCATTGATTGTTTAAAAATAGCTTAACGTTTGTAATTTTACAATGATCAAAGTGACTTGCATTTCGCGTTAATACATTTTTTCGATTTGTTTGGAAACCTAAAATAACAAAACGTGGTTTCTCCAATTGCGTTGATGTTTTAACAGTCCACACGTGATTTGCTGTTGTTGGTATTAAAGGATACTCGTATAATTCCCATGTTCGAAAACTTATAGGAATGAGAGGATCTTTTTCAATGTATTTGAGTAGTTTGAATTTTCTTGCATCTGATAAGCGGACATTGGGTAGTAAGCATTCGATTTTATCGATGGAAATTTTTACATCTTCTGGAGCTGTTTGTATAATTGCGTTGACGTCACTTCTTGCTCGTGTTAAAATTAATTCGTGTCTAGCGTTTACAATAATTTTTTGATAATCCTCGGCGAAACCAAAAATAGTGCTTAAAGGTATTGCAACATCAAAATTACCATTTTCATCAATTAGAGAGATGTTTGCATTGCATGTTGGAAACCAACCGGCATTTTCCAAAAATTTACTCTGATTACTATAAATTGACACGTAATTTTTCATTAGACTCGTGAGTCCGACATTTTTGCTTTTATCAATTTCAATGGCATTCAATTCATATCGTGCTTCTTCAAATAAATGACAAATTGCATTAATAATAAATCTCGTACTGGTCACTGCCGTACTATTTTCTTTTACCAATTTTCCCTGAATGTGTAGAGAACTTTTACCTGGTAAAAGACAGTGGTCCTGATTTTGTACGGCAATTCGAATTTCATCGCTGTTATTGAATGTTGATGAAGCGTACGGTAAATGTGCATGTATCTCATAGTGAGCAATAGATTCATCAAAAACAATTGGTTTTCCAATACTCAACACTTCGTCATCCATTTTTATTTTGTTTTACAAAAATTAAGTTTTTTAAAGAGAAAAACAATGAAACAATTGCAGATAAATTTGTTTCTTTTTATTTTTTTCGATTTCTTCTTTTCTTCTGTTGTTTGATCACTTTCAATCCTAGACTCTTCAATAGTTGAATGTTTTCTGGTGTTAACACCTTGATTGTAGATTTGTAACTGATTCTTTTTTGACATCCTTTACTCTTCTTATAACCGTAACCAGTTATTTTTCTATTAAATACAATTCCCATGATTTTTTTTTCTATAATGATTTAATGTGTAATCGAATAGTTATTGTTTCACCACGAAAATTTACAATATCTCCGTCTTGATCGACTATTCGTAATTGAATGTGATCAATTGTCTTCACAGCGACTGGTAAATAAATAACTTGAGATGGGACTTCAACTATCTTATATCCTGGTGGTACACTGGGAAAAAGTTCATGAACAGTGTGCACTTTATGATTATTTATATACGCACCTGTTGTAATGTTACACTCGATTCTCAATGAATTAACCTTTATAATAGAAACTGGTGAATCTGACTGATGAAATTTATTGGCTTCAAGTATCTGTGGTCTAAAGCCTAACAATTTTGCTATTGTATCAGATTTTTTAAAATTTATCTCAAAATTAGATTTAATCTCGCTACGTAAAGTATTATTGTTTGGTTTAATGTTGAGTTTAATTCCTTTTGGTGTCAAAATTGTCTGTAAATAACGTTCAATTTCACTTATTTCATAGCTACCAGTCGGTATTGTGATATCTTCTTTATCGACATAAAATTTATTTTGTCCAATATCTATATTGGGAATTGAATTAAAGGTTAAAAATTCAACGAGTCCAAGAGCGTAATGTTTATTGGGTGATAATTGAATGAGTGGAAAGTATTGTGTCTCTAAAATCGATGTATTTCCAGACAAGGTTAACGTTAATGAATCGTTCATTTTGCTGGTTCAATGTAAACTGAAGAAAAAAATTGTTTCTAGTCTTTATTTATACCAAAAGAGAGAGAATAGAAATTTTTTGCAGCCAATTGATTGCACAAAAATTTTAAACATAAATGACCGCACACAAAAGTATTTTAATTTTAATATCTTTTGTGATTGTATTTTATTGTTTTTATATTAAGATATTTTACAAGATCTCTAGGTGGTTGAAGATTTCCATAACTATCAAAATATATAACATCATTTTTTTTCTTTTTATATGCAACCCAGTGTGTACCAATACTATTTTTACTATCTAAATTAATTATAGCTGATTCAAATTTATATGGTCCTTTAGCTGGTAATTCATCACGCATAAAAACACCTCGAAAGTGACTTTCTTCGAGTTCCTTTTTTGCTGCTTTTGCGTCATTAACTGCTTTTGTAATTCCAGCAGCACCACCAGATAGGGCCCCTATTGCACTAAGTCCAGCAAAAAGTGGTACAAGAAATGGTAGAAAACCACCAACTTTTTTTGGTACTGGTAGAATTCGAGGTTGTTTCACTTTTCGTTTTCCACCTGCGATTTTCACAGCTAAACGTGCACCTCTTAGAGCTGATTTAATAGCAGAAGATGTACTACCATTGTCGGGTGCAATGGATTTTTTTGCAGCCAAAACAATTTTTTTCAATGGAAATATAGCCTTATTTTTTTTCTTTTTAATAACTTTTCTTTTCTTCTTCAATCCCATTCCTAATTTTGTTTTTAATTTCATTGCGTTTGCAACAGCATAAGCTGCTGCTTTTTCACCAAGTTTTGCGTCACTAACGTGTACACGACTCCAAGCTTTTTCAGCAAGTACTTTGTCTGCTGCGTGTCGATTTTCAAGGTTATTCCTATTTTGAGAATAAGCTATATCGTGTTCTTTGCAAGCTTGATCGAGAGGATTAATACCAGGATCACCGCGTGCTAATCGTTTTTCTAATTTTGTTCCAGGTCCACAATATTGATAACCAGGAATATGTAGTTCCACAGGCAAACTGTTGATAAGTTTATTTAAGAGACCTTTACCACGTTTGACAGGTTTTCGACGACTGATTGCTTTTTTCTTTACACGCATGTTGATACTCATTTGATGTTTTTTTGAAGACTAAAGTGAAAAGGTATAAAAGCGAGGTATTTATAGGTTTTTGTGTCAATTTAAAGTACAATGTCAACCTTGAAGGTTGATTTTACTCAGATTCAGCGTTTCTTACTGAATTTGAAAATTTCTAAGAAACTATGACAGTAATAGTCAATTAAGCAGTCAATTTTATAATCATTTGAGGATTCTAAGTGCTTAAAACTCCCACCACAACCGCAAATTGAAGATTCAATTCGAGATTTAAAACTCCTGGCAATCAAAAAGTACAAAAAGTACAAAATCGAAATCGAGATACAAAATTCCTGGCAATCAAAAAGTACAAAATCGAAATCGAGATACAAAATTCCTGGCAATCAAAAAGTACAAAATGTGGATACCTCTTCACGAAAGAAAAGATCTTTATGAACTGACGCATAAACAAATAAAAACCTTGTATTTATAGTTTTTCATCTCAGTACGCATCAAGATGGAGTTCAAAGAGCAATCAATAAAATTACCAGTTACAAATTTTGACAAAATGACGCAACAAAAGACGGAAAAAAACGTCATGGAAATTTATTACCCAATACGGTGCGAGCTATTTTTTGTGGGCCTTCAAATTGTGGAAAAACAAATGCCCTACTCACACTACTCTTACATCCAAATGGACTACGTTTTGAAAATATCTACATCTTCTCTAAATCTTTAAATCAACCAAAGTATAAATTCTTAGAGAAAACACTTCAACTAGTTAATTTTTTAGTAATTTTCAGACAAGATGAATTAAACCTTAAACATATATATGACGACCATGTCAATACAGATATGTCATATACACAATTTAGAGATTTATGTTCATCTTGTTGGAATAGTGATAAATATGGCTTTGTTGTCATTGACAAAGACAGTGAACTCAATTGTGGTAGATATAGAAAGAGTTTTGATTGTTTTATAATAGTTTGTGAAGTTTAAAAAACATTTTCCCATAGTTTTTAGATTTAGTTATACTAGAGACTTTGTCTAATCAAGATGTCTTCTACAAGAATTGATCATATTTATAAACAAAAAGATCTCGCACAAAATTTGGCAAAAGCCAGCGAAGCAATTCGTCGAAAACATAAATTATTGAAATTAGGTAAAGAGTCCTTTGAGCTAGCATTAGGAGACACTTTTAAACCTATTGTTAATCCTCTGGAAAAGCTACTTAGTGATATTGAAATACTTAAAACAGTTGATGGTATAAAGAAAGAGAAAAAAATTTTTAAAAATGAAGAACAGGAAAAAGAATTTGACAGGTTCAACGATAATAATTTAAATGAAGAATCATTTAAATCAGCAACATTTGAAGAACAGTCACAACCTTTAGAATTATCTGATCAAGAAATACCAATAGCGTCGTCTTCACCATCAACTGATGAAAATACAAGAGAATATCTTACACTTTTAAATCAAAGGAATAAAGATATCGATACTGTATATGGTGTAAGAAAATTAACAAAAGACAGACTGATGATTGGTAATTCTGCAATAAGTTTCAGTCAAAACTATATTCATGTTGGTAACATGACATTTCGCAGTAGTAAAGGGTTACTTGAGCTTCTTTTAAAAAAAAATCCTAGCGAATCTGTTGTGAGTTTAGAGGATCTAGAAAACTTTAAAACAATTATTTTAACAACGAACGCTCATAAAAAACACTACAGCGCTGATGGTGATATTCGTGCGAGTAAAGACTTTAAATTTAAAAATTTTATTGAAAAATTCTTATCACCTTCTAGAAAAAGTGGTAGCGATAAGAGTTCTTTAGGTGGAGGTATTATTCCACAATATATGACTGCTAAAGATGGAAATAAATTGGATTATATCTATTGGGATGATCCAAATGAATTGGTTGATCGATTACGTTTACTGTTAGCATCACAAGCAGCAGGAAATTCAAGTCATACAAACGAAATTTTATCTATTATTGAAGAATTACGAGAAGCTAACATTATTTATTAATGAATTTTAATTGAAAGAAACATTAGTTGAACAATGTCTCTCGACGTATTTGGACGTTCCTTTAGAAAAAGTGAAAATTCAATTCGTGGACCTCTTGGTGTTGGCTTCAAGATCACCACTGAAGGACACTTTGATATTGAAAATAAAAAATTACGCAATATAGCTGAAACTTCGGAAAACAATGATGCAGTAAATTTAAAATTGGTGCAAAATTTATTAGAAAAAGATGCAGAAGAATTCTACAATAGTATTGCAGTTTTAAGACAACAAGTTAATGACGCTACTTCTGCCATCACGAAATTAACGTTTGATCTGGATAAAGAATTTTTTGAAAATTTCAAAACAGAGTATGATGCATTAGATAAACGAGTGTTTCTCAACTCTGAATTTATTTCTCAATTTGAATACAGACTAAGAGCACTTGAGAAAAAAAATGAATCAAGAAAAATTAGCTCTCGTTAAAGAGTTACACAAGCCTGCGAGAAGAAATTATTCAAGGCGAAAATTTGACATTCGAGGAATCGATGAAACTTGGCAAGCCGATCTTGTGGAAATGACGACATATGCAAAGGAAAATAAAGGTTACAAATACATTTTGACTGTCATCGATATTTTCTCAAAATTTGCCTGGGCTGTTCCTGTAAAGAATAAAACTGGTGAAGACGTTACTGCTGCTATGAAATCAGTACTGCATCAAGGTCGTGTGCCAAAAAATTTACACGTTGATCAAGGAAAGAATTCTACAATACGCACTTTAAGAATCTCATGAAACAATATAAAATAAATATGTATTCTACATTTAGTAATTGAAAAGCTGCAATTTGTGAACGATTTAATCGTACATTAAAAAATAAAATGTGGATGCAATTTAGTTTACACGGTAATTACAGGTGGTTAGATATTTTACAAGAATTAATTTTATCCTACAATAATACTATACATCGAACAATTAAAATAAAACCAAACGATGTAAACAGAATGAATGAACGAAAAATCTTATTTAGTGTAAAATCATTGAAAAAAAAATTGAAATTTAAAATTGGTGATAAAGTACGAATAAGTAAATTAAAACATGTTTTTGAGAAAGGATATACACCAAATTGGACAACAGAAATCTTCACCATTGATGTTGTAAATAATACTGAACCAACGACTTACTTACTAAAAGATTATCAAAATAATCCAGTTGCTGGAAATTTTTATCAACAAGAACTCGCTCCAGCTAATAATCCTGATATTTATTTAGTTGAAAAAGTAATAAAAAAAACGTGGTAATAAGATTTATGTAAAATGGTTAGGTTTCGATAATTCTCACAATAGTTGGATAGAAAATATGTAATTTTTATTTATATATAAGAAATAAAGATTTTTTATTTTATTTTTTTTTAAAAAAAGTGTTTTTTTTCTTCTCCTTTTAAAAAAGAAATTAAATTTAAGGTTAATAAAACAAATTGAATCACTTTATAAAAAATATTAATTTTATTGCATCGTATTTTTTTTTTTTTTACAAAAAATTATTATCTTCAATAATTCGTAAAATTTCTAAATATTCGAAAATTTCAGCACATAATTTTTTTAAATGAAATGTACACAATTCACAAAATAATCGTGCAATATTAACAGATACATTATCTCTATTCATTAAAATCATTTTAAGTAAACTAAATTCTCTTTTCACAAATTTTTCAATGCTTTCTACATCTGTAACTCTATTTCTATTAAACATAATATGTCCAATAGTTTGAATAATAATATTTACATTATTTTGCACAAATAACTCTTCTAAATCAAAAATATTTTGTTCAATACAGTTACTTAAATTTTTTAAAATTCCAAACGTTGTTGCATTAAAATAAAATGGATGTACAGAACTTTTGTCTAAACGTTTAATCATCACAAGACGCTGAGCCATGTAGATGACAAATTTTAATTCTAAATTACCACATTTGAAAATACGTGGGTTCATTTGCTTTTGAAAAAAACTAGAAATTTCCGTAAAATAACTGCAAACACAATCCCATTCATATGAATATAAAGATAAGGTTGTTCGTGGATGGCTGCTACATAAATTTACTTGCACAATTAAATTTTTGAAATCGTTGACTGCAAATCCAACAACAATCTGTTTATTGAACGATGGAGTTAGGTTATATGCCGTATGGAGAATTAATGTATCTCTTGGTATATATGCCATTATTCAGAATTGGTTTCATTAGCTGATTGTAATTCAAAATTATTATAATCTCCACCCAAATATTTGAAATAGACTGATCCCTGTTGAATTTCCTCTTTTAATTTATCAAAAAGTTCAAGATGCTTTTCACCATCGAGAAAAAGTTTCACTATTCGTTCTGGTAAAAATACTCTGCATTCATTGTCAATTTCAATAAGTATTTTTGGACCAAATCTTGTATTTATGTATTTCAAATCCGACACATGATACAATTCACCAACTTTCAGCATTTTCATTGGTTTTATTGGTAAAACAATATTTGCAACTTGATTAAATTGTTTAAAATCCATCTTTTTTTTAATATGGAGAATCAAAAAAATTTTATCAACTTTTATTTAAAAAACTATTTTAATTCAATAACTTCTTTTTCTGATTTTTTTTCTTTCACACTTGAAATTCAGATTAGAACTAAAAAATTAACGCAAAAATCACGCTTTTTATAACAACGGACCCCCACCTTCTCCTACTCTTTCGGACACAAAATTATGACTCAAAAAAATTTTATAAAATGATGCAATAATTATTACACATTAAATTATAAATTTAATATTTACCCCACCACATTTTTTTTAAAAATATACGCATATCAATCGACAAATCTTAATAACGCATAAGTAAAAAAAGAAATATGACAAACACATTTTTTTTTATTTATATTATCAATGAAATTTTATACTTACCACTTCCACTTTGACTTCACAGAAAAAACTGTGGGAATCGTACAATAAAAAAAAAATATATATAACATTACTCACCTTAATCGATAAAAATATTTCTGAGAATTGTTTTTTCAGAATAACCCCCCCCCCTCTCCCTTCCCAAATACTTAGTCATAAAAAAAATGTTACCAAGCAATTTTTTTTTTAACAAATCCCCCCCCCCCACCCGCATCTCCGCTACGATTATTACGCCGACCACCTTTTCACCCGCAAATCCCCCTTTAATGGCACAGCCCTGGCCTATCACACGGACACGCACCTACACACATTGACTCACACCGATACAATACCAATTGGTCCAGAACCGGCACAGTATATCTACTATGATGTTCGACATTTTTTTGATGCTGGAAAAAGATATTTGTATTTTACCAAAAATCCGACATGTTTTTTTAAGGTTAGAAAAAAACGTGATAAAGGAAAACAGACTTCCGATGCGTATTAAGGGCACTAGAATATAAGGTGGCTAAGGTACTCCGGTTCGGGAAACATGACACTTTTTTGTAGGGCTGTGTATACATGTTTGAACATTAAGGTAAGTCATTTCGGGTGATTTAAAATATTTTTTACCATTTCTGATGATAATCCAGGAGGCACCCATGTCAGACTATTTTCAAGAGGATCGAATGCGATTAAAGATGTACAATCATTTGTTTTAAATTTAGCTATAATTGATACCCAATCTTCAATGTGTACATTGTGTATATGCTGTTGACATTTACAAATTGTAAAATTTTTCCTGAAACACAAAAATTGTAAGGTGTAAAATTTCCAACAAATACTTTAATTATTATTTACACAAAATTATAAGTTATAAAAAGTAACTATAAAATTGTTTTACCTCATATTTCCTGTACTGAAATTCAACTAACAAGTTTTGAAATTAATATCTACAGAATAACTATGTACTTTTAAAACATAATTCAGCATTAATATTAACCTTTTAGATACAGGGTTTTGGGGATAAGGCGCATAGGTTAAGATCCATGTTTTGACGACTGTAGAACTCAAACGGTATCATCTACAGTGATTATTTATATAAATGTTTTTAAACGTTATGACATTAGCTAAGCAGTTACTAGCAAAAAATTTTGTGACATTATTAAAATAAATAAAATTTAAGCTGATTTGAAAAAGTTGAATTTTAAAATGACTAAAACTTCTTCTGGACATCATTCAAAAACTTAATAAAAAAAAGTTTGTAACGTAGACAGGAAGTCAATTCAACCTTTTCCAATCATACGTTAACCTATTGTAAAGAACCTATTATACAAAAAAACATTACCGTCAGAGCGGGTAACTTCGGAAAAGGAGACTAACTCGTACACTTGTACATTATTGAAAATATTTTGTATTTCCCTTCTTTCTAATTGTTTTCATAAGGAAACACATTGTATTTCTTGGATGTTTAATAAAATAAAATAAATGCTAACAAATACAAATTATTTTCAAAAATATACGAGTGTCCAAAGTTACCCGCTTTGACGGTACCCAATATTTGATACTAGGTACACTGACTGATTCTACAAGAACGGCTGTATGAATCATTAACTAATACTTTTGAATACATCATGAATTTTTGTTCACATTTTAACAATTTATCTCACTGTGAACCCGTTTTAATTCGAAACGCGAACTTTAATGATAGAACGTCCAAGCGCCCGTCAAAGAATAAAATGTGATAGTTTATTTTTAAAAAAATTCAGTTTAAATATTTTTTTGGATTCGTCAAAAAAACCCTATAAAAACGTCCTGTTTCTTTGAATTCCCTAGCCTAGGGATTTTAATTTACAAACTTTATGTTTACATGCGCTAAAAGCTTGTGTTTTTACCTTTCCAACGATATATTTTACTTTTGGATTATCTGAATCCATGTTAATTTTATAAAGCGATTTCGGATGGAGTCACGTGAGTCTTTTTCATCCTGCCGGAAGGCTGTTGGACGTTCTATCATTAAACAAGGATAACTCATAGAAAAATGGGTATTTTTAAAAGATACTTTATTCAAAAGAAATTGTTCGTAGAAATTTTATGTGCAATTTGTTTAA